CGAGCCCGTGAATAATTAATAATTTTAAACACAATATTTTGTACAATTTACTTTTATAATACAAAATAATATAATTTTAATTTATTCTTTGATTTTATTTTTAAGTAGGGTAATATTTTTAATTGACTTTTAATATTTAAAACATATAGAAACATAAATTTTGAACATTAAGGGATAAAATTTTGTATACTGTAAGCACCATGATTGTCTAAATTTGCATAAGTTTGCACAATTTGCATAATTTGCTTTTGAGTAAAACGAGTTTAAAATATTGTAATTAAGAAAATAAAAATCCAATTATAGTAATGTTGGAAAAAAATTATAGCATTTTTATATTTTGTTAATCTGTGTCTCCAGGAGTTAATTAATTATGACAAAGAAATAGAATTTTATAATATAATTATTTAATTTCTTCAGGGTTGTCACGAAAATTTGTTTTTGTTTTTTTTCTAACTTTTCCCTGATTTGCAGACAGAATTTTGACTTTTTTCACATCTCTCAATTTAAATTAGTAAAAATTATTACTAATTTCAATTAATCACTGAATTTTTTATTTAAATTAGTAAATTTTACTAATAAACAGTAATTTCGACCAATTTTTGAGTAAAATTTTCTGATTCAAAATATTAATTAAAATATTTAAGTAAATAAAAAAAATGTAAATTAAATAATATAAATAGAAAATATATTCAAATATCAGTAAATTTTATTAATATGTAAATAGTAATTTCTACTAAAATTTAGTAATTTAAAAGCATTTGCACTAATGCAAATTAATAAATATTTTTAGTTTTAACTAATTAAAATTTAGAGTCGATCTAAAATTTAACAAAATTTTACTAATTCCAATTGATAAATTGTTAATAGAATTTTTAATTATAATTTCGAATTCTACTTTTAATTTATTGTTTTTAATTATAATTTGTATTTCAAATTTTTAATTCTAATTTTAATTTATAATCTTTAATTATAATTTCAGTTTGTAACACTTAATTATGATTTTTTTATTAGAATTTTTAATTCTAATCTTAATTTCTAATTTTTATTTTTAATTCTAATTTAATCATTTCTATTAAATTTACTAATTCAAAAGTAAAAAATCAGTCTCTAATTGAAATTAGTAAACACTTTTACTAATTAAAATTTAGTGAGTCACTAATTAAAATTAGTAAACATTTCTACTAATTAAAATTTAATGAGTCCATCTGAAACTCATTAATATTTTCCTAATTTTTTTAAATCTACTAATTTAGAGTTAGAAAGTACTTATAAATAATAATTTCTCAATTGTGATTTGCGAGAATGCAACAAACGAAAAAAAAGCAAAAAAAAAAAACATGTTTTTCTCACAAAAGAAATATAAAACTTTTCCAATACTACGCCTGAAATCTTTGATTGATAGTTCAGAGAATTGGAGCAATTTAAAAGATTAAATTATACAGCACTGAAAAAAAAGAAGGAATTCGAAGTGAAGTTTCCTTAACATCTTTTTCTGATTTCATGCTTTTCTTGGGTGGAAAAAAAATAAAGGGTTCGAGAGTTAGTTAAAATGAAGAGAGTTTGGATACTCTTTTCTTGTTCTTCCTCATCATCATCATCGACATTTTTTTTTTTTTTTTATTCTTTTTCTTCTTCTCCTTCTTTTAGTAATCTGAGGTGTCTATATCACTAACCGCTATCTTCTATTTTGTCCCCTCGAACTTTTCTATCAATTTTCCAAGCAGCCTCGAGTTTCGGAATTCTTTTCGACAACAGGCTTCACAGTAGCTTTATTTATTCTCAAAAAAAAGGTGAAAAGGAAAATTTTTTTCTGAAAAAGGGGGACAAAAAAATATACCGAAAAAATTAAAATGAGTTAAAAAAGAAAAACTTTAATTTTTATTAGAAAAAGTTAAATAATGGGACAAATCACCAAAAAAGGGAAAAAGGTACCAAATCATCAAAAAAAAAGGTGAAAAAGGTGACAAAATTAAAAAAGGCGGCAAAATCTAAAAAAGGTGATAAAATTAAAAAAGGGACAAAATTGAAAAAAGGAAACAAAAGCTGAAAAAGGTGAAAAAAATTATAAAAAAGGTTCCAAATTCAAGAAATGGGACAAAATTAAAAAGGGACAAAATTAAATAAATCAAACAAAATTGAAGAAAGGGAATAAAAGCTAAAAAAAATGTCAAAATTGTAGAAAGGGAATAAAAGTTAAAAATTGTCAAAATTGAAGAGAGGAAACAAAAGCTGAAAAAGGTGACGAAATCAAAGAAATTTGACAAAATTAAAAAGTGACAAAATTTAATAAATGAAACAAAATTGAAGAAAGGGGACAAAATTAAAGAAAGGGAATAAAAGTTTTTTAGCTTTTATTCCCTTTCTCCAATTTTTTCCCTTTCAAAATTTAAGAGAGGGGACATAAGCTTTAAAAGGTTACAAAATTTGAAGAAGAGACAAAATTGAAGAAATGGGACAAAATTAAAAAGGATGAAATAAAAAAGGGACAAAATTGAAGAAAGGGAATCAAAGCTAAAATATGACAAAATTGAAAAAAGGATCAAAATTGTAGAGAGGGACAAAAGCTTAAAAGGGTTACAAATTTCAAAAAGGGACTAAATTTAAGAAATGAGACAAAACTATAATGGTACAAAATGGAAGAAATAAAACAAAATTGAAGAAAGGGAATAAAAGTTAAAAAAAAATTTCTATAAACATAAACTTTAAAAGTTTACAAATTTCAAAGAGGGACAAAATTGAAGAAATGAAACAAATTTGAAAAAAAGAACAAAATTGAAGAAAGGAAATATAAGCTAAAAAGATGACAAAATTGAAAAGGGGACAAAATTGAAGAGAGGGACAAAAGCTTTAAAAGGTTACAAATTTGGAAAAGAGACAAAATTGAAGAAATGGGACAAAATTAGGAAAGGGACAAAATTAAAGAAAGGGAATAAAAGCTAAAAAAAATGTCAAAATTGAAGACAGTAATCAAGAGCTGAAAAAGGTGACAAAATTGAAGAAATAGGACAAAATTAGAAAGGGACAAAATTGAAGAAAGGGATTAAAAGCTAAAAATATGACAAAATTAGAAAAGGGACAAAATGGAAGAGAGGGACATAAGCTTAAAACGGCTTCAAATTTGAAAAAGGGACCAAATTGAAGAAATGGGACAAAATTAGGAAAGGAACAAAATTAATGAAAGGGAATAAAAGCTAAAAAAATGTCAAAATTGAAGACAGTAATCAAAAGCTGAAAAAGGTGACAAAATTGAAGAAATAGGACAAAATTAGAAAGGGACAAAATTGAAGAAAGGGATTAGAAGCTAAAAATATGACAAAATTAAAAAAGGGACAAAATGGAAGAGAGGGACATAAACTTAAAACGGCTTCAAATTTGAAAAAGGGACCAAATTGAAGAAATGGGACAAAATTAGGAAAGGAACAAAATTAATGAAAGGGAATAAAAGCTAAAAAAATGTCAAAATTGAAGACAGTAATCAAGAGCTGAAAAAGGTGACAAAATTAAAGAAATAGGACAAAATTAGAAAGGGACAAAATTAAAGAAAGGGATTAAAAGCTAAAAATATGACAAAATTAAAAAAGGGACAAAATGGAAGAGAGGGACATAAGCTTAAAACGGCTTCAAATTTGAAAAAGGGACCAAATTGAAGAAATGGGACAAAATTAGGAAAGGAACAAAATTAATGAAAGGGAATAAAAGCTAAAAAAATGTCAAAATTGAAGACAGTAATCAAAAGCTGAAAAAGGTGACAAAATTGAAGAAATAGGACAAAATTAGAAAGGGACAAAATTGAAGAAAGGGATTAGAAGCTAAAAATATGACAAAATTAAAAAAGGGACAAAATGGAAGAGAGGGACATAAACTTAAAACGGCTTCAAATTTGAAAAAGGGACCAAATTGAAGAAATGGGACAAAATTAGGAAAGGAACAAAATTAATGAAAGGGAATAAAAGCTAAAAAAATGTCAAAATTGAAGACAGTAATCAAAAGCTGAAAAAGGTGACAAAATTGAAGAAATAGGACAAAATTAGAAAGGGACAAAATTGAAGAAAGGGATTAGAAGCTAAAAATATGACAAAATTAAAAAAGGGACAAAATGGAAGAGAGGGACATAAACTTAAAACGGCTTCAAATTTGAAAAAGGGACCAAATTGAAGAAATGGGACAAAATTAGGAAAGGAACAAAATTAATGAAAGGGAATAAAAGCTAAAAAAATGTCAAAATTGAAGACAGTAATCAAGAGCTGAAAAAGGTGACAAAATTAAAGAAATAGGACAAAATTAGAAAGGGACAAAATTAAAGAAAGGGATTAAAAGCTAAAAATATGACAAAATTAAAAAAGGGACAAAATGGAAGAGAGGGACATAAGCTTAAAACGGCTTCAAATTTGAAAAAGGGACCAAATTGAAGAAATGGGACAAAATTAGGAAAGGAACAAAATTAATGAAAGGGAATAAAAGCTAAAAAAATGTCAAAATTGAAGACAGTAATCAAAAGCTGAAAAAGGTGACAAAATTGAAGAAATAGGACAAAATTAGAAAGGGACAAAATTGAAGAAAGGGATTAGAAGCTAAAAATATGACAAAATTAAAAAAGGGACAAAATGGAAGAGAGGGACATAAACTTAAAACGGCTTCAAATTTGAAAAAGGGACCAAATTGAAGAAATGGGACAAAATTAGGAAAGGAACAAAATTAATGAAAGGGAATAAAAGCTAAAAAAATGTCAAAATTGAAGACAGTAATCAAGAGCTGAAAAAGGTGACAAAATTAAAGAAATAGGACAAAATTAGAAAGGGACAAAATTAAAGAAAGGGATTAAAAGCTAAAAATATGACAAAATTAAAAAAGGGACAAAATGGAAGAGAGGGACATAAGCTTAAAACGGCTTCAAATTTGAAAAAGGGACCAAATTGAAGAAATGGGACAAAATTAAAAAAGACAATTGAAGAAAGGAGACAAAAGCTGAAAAAAGGACAAAATTGAAGAAGGGGGACAAAATCTCTAATGCCTGCGACAGGTTGCTCCTTGGTGGCATAGAACGTATATTATTGGGACACACTGACCTCCTGTCCCAATTTTTTTATTTACACAATTCGGACATTTTCATGCTGACAATACGTTGCGTCACTCTTTCTTTTCTCAACTTATCATCGGCACAATGCGCTACTGAGCCATCAAGCAGATTGAATGAATGAGAAGTTTTCATTGCGCCGATGTAGACTCTAATTCTCTCTCTCTCTCTCACTCTCTATCGTTACGTCTATCGTCGCGACGGAGGGCCGAACCAACGTCGACCAACCAGGATCATTTCAAACGACAGAGTACTCTCAGACTTCTCCGCGTTCACATCCATTTGAAAAATACATTTTACGGTCTATTCGATAAAAAGTGTTTTGATTCAAAAGTGATAATTAACTGACAAAAATACGGATTTAAAAAAAATTATATTCGAGAAGTATATATTCGAAAAATATATATTCTAAAAATATGAATTAAAAATAAAAAAAAATATGTTTTAAAAATAAAAAAATTTGTATTAAAAGTAAAAAAATTTGTTTTACAAATATAAAAAAAGATGCATTAAAAACTATAAAATAATAAAATAGATTTTTGAAAAATTATTTTGATAAACAGAATGAAAAAAAATTTACTTTAGTAAAATAATCGATTTACTTGAATCAAATAATTTTTGTTTTGATCTTTTATTTTCTTAAATTTTTTTAATATTATTTTTAATTTATTTTTTAAAAAGGTATTTAAATTTTAATTTAATGATAAAATTATCGAACTTAAATAAAATTTAAATTTTAAATGAGTCAATAATACGAAAAATTAAAAATATTATAAACTAAGAATACTAAAACAACTACTAATAAAAATACAACATAATATATTAACGACAAGATTGGAAAAATCTGTTATAATAATAAATAATTTTAAATAATATAATAAAAATGAGTAACTACAGCGAAAAAAAAAAATTATTTGATTCTAATAACCAATTACTTGTCTATTATCAAATAAATATTTACTTGCATCGAATAATTTTTATTTAAATCAATTAAATTTGAATCAATAATTTCAGTATTTGAAGCAAATATAAATTGAACCATTTAATTGCGACTCAAATAAAAATTATTTGATTCAAGTAAATATGTAATTGATAATAGCCAAGTAATCGGTTATTTGAATCAAATAATATTTTTTTCAATGTAGTAGCAAATAGTATAATAATAAAAATAATAATAAGTAATAAATACCTAGTAACTACTAAAATCCAAAAAAAAAAAAAAATTGTAAATAATATTAAATTACATCGCGCTAAAGCGCGCCTTTATTTTTTTTCTTTAATGTGAATAAATATTTAACAATAATGCCTATTACCAATTCACATTTTTTTTATAAAATAAAACAAAAATTTTTTTCTCTTCAAGTATTTTCTTAACACAAATTGAAAACGATAAAAAAATGCTCGGTATACTTTAAATATTTCTAAAGTGACTTTTTGGAGTAAAACTTAATGAAAAGGGTGCACAAGTGCAATTACGAGAAATATTTTAAATATCCCCCCTCACTCCCCAGAAAAAATATATTGGTCACAAATAATTGTGATTATCAAATAGAAATTATGACAATTTTTTCATTTATATAAAAAAAAATAACAAATTTCTTTAAAAAATGGAAATTATGCAAATTTTTTTTAACTCTTTTTAAAAAATAGTTGAGATTTTGTGAAAAAAATTGTGACGAAAAAATAGAAATTATGCTTATTTTTTATTTAGGTATTTCTAAAAAAAACTAAAAGTTTTGTACAGAAAAATTATGATTGTTCAATTGAAATTGTATGTAATTTTTTTTCATTAAATTAAAAAAATTTATTACAAGAAAAAAAATTGTAATTTCGGTAAAAATCGTAATTAACAATTAGACATAATGAAAATTTTTTTCCTTTTTCTCCGCAAAAAGAAAATTTGAAATTTCATAAAAACGTGATTTATAAAAAAATTTTCCGTTTTTTTTAAATACTTGGCATTTTGTTTGAAATATTGGAATTGAAGAATAGAAATTTGTGCAAATTATTTCCTGTTTTCCAAAAAATTAGAATTTTTTTTATCTAAATTGTGATTTGAAAATAGAAATAGGAATTAAGCAACAAAATTTCTTCTTTTTTTTAAAAAGAAACTCATATAATTTTGTGAAAAAAATTGTAATTGAGAAACAGAAGATATGCAAAATTTTTTCTATTTCCTGATCTTAATTTTTTTAAACAATTTTCTAATTTTTTCGAAGAAGAAAAGAGAATAAATCTGCTTAATTGCAATTTTTGAAACAAATCAGTTTTTGTAGAAAAAGAAAAGATGATAAAAATTTGTATGATTTCTATTTGAGAATTACAATTTTTGTTACAAAATGCAAATTTTTTTTTTTAGGAAAAAAGAAAAAAATGCATAATTTCTAATAACAATAATTCTAAAATAATATTGTAAAAATTATATTAAATATTTTGTTGCAATATAATATGGAAATGATTTAAAAAAAATAATTAATAAAAATTAAAACAATAATAAAAACAGTTAAAAGGAATGAACAATAGTCAATCTAGAACACAAAAACAAAAAAAATAATAATAATAAATAATAGTAAATAATATAGATAATAATAAAATAGTTTCGAAAAATACACAAATGGGACTGAAGGAACATTAAAGAAAAAAAATTTTCAAAATAAAAATACTAAATATTAAATAAAAAGAAATACTAAAATTAAAACAATACCAAATACTAAAAATGCAAACAAAAATAATAAAAAATTGTAAATAGTAATAGTTATAGTATATACTAATCTATAGTAAATACTAAATACTATAATAAAATAAACAATAAAAAATAATAAAAAATAGTAAATAAATAATAAATAATAGTAAATAATATAATTAAATCCTAAAACTTGTAAAAATAATGAAAAATTTAAAATACTAAATAATTGTAATAAATACCTATACCTACAAAATATTAGGTACTAGTACTAAAAAAAATACTCAATAATAGCAATCAAATAAAATAAAAAAATACTATACAACAATAATAATAAAAAAAATAAGTCCTGTTTTCATTTTCACAGTTTTTATTAGGATATCAAATTCAGACGAAAATTGAATCAAAACATTGCTTCGCAACACTTTTGATTCATTTTGTGTTTGAATTTGATATCCTAATAAAAACTGTGAATATAAATTAATTAAAAAATAAAATAAATAAAAATAGTTGCATTTTCTCTAAAATTCATTTTTTTCTTTTAAGGAAGAAGACAAAGAGAATTAATTTGTCAAATTTCCAAACTATTTCTAAAACACTCGAAAAAGCATAAAAATAATAACAAAAAAAAAAGATAACAAAAGGACTGAATGTTATTGCAAAAATTTGAGTGTTGCGGCGACGCGAGAGGTGCGCGTGCGGACGTTAAGATTGAAATTGAATAGTCCACAAGAGGGAGGAAGAGAGCGAGAGCGAGAGAGATAGAAAGAGAAAAAGAGAGATCCGTTAAAGAGACTCCAGATTGGATGTTCGAGTGACTGTGTGATAAGTGAGAGAGAAATTGAACTTTCAAGTTCGGTCAGTGTAATAATAACGTACATGCGGGTTCCATTAAAAGCAGAAAACGATTTTTATCAAAATCTTTGTTATGTCGAGATAATAGTCTGAAGTATTATTTCGATAAATCGACTTCATCTTCACGAGAAAAGTGTTTTTTTTTGCGCCAAAAAAATTCAAAAAATTCAACAAAAAAAAAATTATAGTGTCATTTCGATCGAGAATCGAAGAAAACTCACAAGTGCGACGAGATGAAATTGTACAGGATCTTTTTTATCCTCATTTTGAGCGTCACATATTGCATTGCAAATTCTTTAAATTTGATGAATAGAAATCATCATTTTTTGTGCCCTGAGTTAAGATCGCAGGAATCACTTGGTTTTAAAGAGGTTTGTAAACATTTTCTTTTATTCTTGTTGCAATTGTAATCTTGTCTTTTTTATTCTTATTAATTTTATTTATTAATTTTTTTTATTTTTTTATTTATTTGTTTATTTATTTATTTATTAAAAGAAAGAAACAAAGAAAAAAGACAAGATTACAAATTTTGTCTTTTTCCTTTGATTCTTTCTTTGGTAATTTTTTGTTTCCTTATTTCTCGTTCTTTTTTATTAAATTAATTTCTGTAAAAAGTAATTTTGTAGACGATTGAGATTGATCGTGATTCACATTTAATTAAGATCAGTTTAATTGAAGATCTTTCAATTTCAAAAGTTCAAGGGAGAAAATATAAAGTGGAAAAATAAATGTGTGTGTGTATATATTTATATATGTGACCTCCGTGATTGATGATTGTATTTTGAATTGAGAAGAGTGGAGCGTAATGTCTCAATTGATATTATACAGGTCGGAATTATTTGTTATAAATTTTTGCGCTTCTTTTCAATTTCTTTGAATGAAAAATAGTAATTTTTTTCTTTTTAATGTTTTGAAATTAATTTAAAATTAAAATTAATTTTTTATATTTTCTTTGAAATTTGCAAATTTTTTGACTATTTTAAAAAAAGAAAAGTATTTTTCACAAAATAAATAATTTATTTTGTGAAAAATACTTTTTTTTCTTAAAAATCGTTGATTATATAAATTATAAATCGTCTTATAAATCGTTGATTTCATTATAAAACTTCACCGAAGTTAAAATACTTTACTGAAGTTCACAATCCTCACGATTGACGATTTTAGAAAAAAAAAATGTTTTTTTTAGTAAATTCTTATAACTTTTCCTTTGAAAAATTATTTACAAATTTTTTTTTTAACTATTTTCAAAAGAAAAATGTATAAAAAAATTAATTATTTAAATGGTAAAAAACAACTTTTTTCCTTCAATCGTTGATGATAAACGTTGCGAACTTCGTCGACATTAAAATATGTAGTTCAATAAAGTTCACAATTTTTATGATCAACGATTGAAAAAAATATTTTTCCAAGTAAATTTTTTAATGTTTTTGTAGGAAACATTTATTTTTTAATTTTCTTGGCTAGGTACAAAAAAAAATTTCGTAAATAGAAAAAATATTTTAAAAACTACTTTTTTCCTTTAGACGTTGATTATGATTGTTGCGAACTTCATTGACGTTAAAATACTTCAAAAAAAAATTCACAATTTTAATAATCAACGATTTTAGAAGGAAAAAAATATTTTCCTATGTAAATTTCGAAAATTTCCGTTTGAAATCCTTTTTTTTACAAGTTTTCCCGACTATTTTGAAAAAGAAATAGAATAGAAAAGAAAATTTTGTAGAAAAATCGAGAAAATAATTACAAAAACTATTAATTTGCCTCAAAATTAAAAGTAATTTTAACTACGATTTTTGTACTTTGTGACTTTTTCTAAAAAATATTTTCTAATTCTTCTTTTTTTTTTATTAAAAAAAATTACCTTATCTGAAGAAATCACTTTTCTAATAACTTTTAATTTGTTAAATGCATTTTTTATATAAAAGCTTTGAATTCCTGAAATAAATTTTTCGAACAATATAAAAAAAAACCTTTGCTAATAAAATCACCTTTTCTAACAACTTTCAATTTGGTTAATGTATTTTTGTAAAAAGCTTGAAAATATAAAATATAAAAGCTCTGGAGTACGATTTTTTATAATAAATATAAATTTTCATTTTCTCTCTTACAATATTTTTGAATGGTAGAAAAATTTATTTTTACATATTTTACTAACTTTTTGTTTCTTTTTGCTTCTCGCTGAAATTAATATGTAAATATCTAAATTAAAAAAGATTTTCTCAACGAATTTTTAATTTTTCCTTTTTATTATGAATATTTTAAAATTTTTTCCAACAGTTTTTTTTTTTTTTTTGGTTTTATTTTGAAAGTACTTTTTAAATATTAATTCAAAAGATATAAAAATATTCAGAACACTAAGTATTATTTGTTTTAGAATTATTAATTATATTTTATTACTAATTTATTATCATTATTGTTATTATTATTATTTCTTTTTATTTTACTTTTATTTCTTTTTATTTATTTTATTTTTTATTATATTTTTCTATATCAGCATAAAAATATAGTTTTTTTTTATTGTTATTACTAACATTATTATTGTAAAAAAGTAAAAAATATATAGAAAGTACTTAAATTGCTTCTTCAGTGAAAGTTAATTTTTGATAAAAATTTAAATAACATTAATTATTATTGCACGAACCGAAAAGTTTTGTTCACTTAATAATTTAATAGTTGCTGGACTATTGAAAGTTCAACAAGAGTTTAAAATTTTATTATTTACATTAACTTTTAGTGGTTTCGAATAGGAACATAAGCTGATCAAAACATTAAGAATTTATTATTTATATTTTAATATTATTTTTAATTTTTAACTTTACTACTGTTTTTAATATTATTTTTAATTACTTAATTACTTAACTTATTATTATTTTGTCATTTTCTTTTTTTTTATTTTTGTAGTTTCTTTCTGTAGTTTTTAGTTTTTTTACAAATATGTCAAAAATAATATTTATTTAAAACAAATAATTTAATATTAATAATTTAATAATAAATTAATATTTATTAATCTTTCAGTTTAATAATATTTATATTAAATAATAAAGATCTTAAATTATATGGCTTTCTAAAAAAATTTATTTTAACAATATTTATATTAGTAATTTAAGAATAGTTTAATATTAAATTATTTACTAATAAAAAGCTATTTCGCTACTTGAAACAAATAAAAAGTTGAGTAATTTCTGAGTCAATTAAAAAATTTATTTTAAAAATTAAAAATGTCAAACAAAAATCTTGTTTTTTTTATACTAAAAAAATAATTATACAGAAAAAAAAATTTTTTTTCTCCATTAATGTATTTTCAGTCGCGGGACAATTACTTTGAGAATTAAAGGATGATGTTGAGGCTAAAAGGTCACTAAAGGAGAACTAATTCAGCTCCTAGGATGGATTAAATTAGAGCTTAGATTTCGACTCGAAATTAAGTTTCTCCGTTAGATAAATTACAAACTCAGTTAATAGACAATTTTACAATGCGTTTCATTAGTAAATTTTGTGATTTATATTCACATTTAGATGGAGATTCTGCAAGCACGTATATTCCTTTTATAATAAAGTTACACAACTAATCAAAAAGAAAAAAATTCCAATTTTTATTTTCTTAAATGAAAAATCGTTCACCAGAATATTTCCAAAGTTGTGGTTTGCAACGGAATTTTTTTTTTTTTTAGTAGAAAAAAATCTTGATGAATCCGCATAAAAAACGAAATCCGGTTTATAAATCTGTATTTGAAAAACTGTATATGAGTTTCAATTTTTTTTTCTTCTTTTATCAGCTATGTGTAAATGGATATAGAGGTGTATATATATCACGAACACGAAATTTTATGGTTATTGAGTTCAATAAGCACTAAAATCGAAGTTTCTTTTTCTGAAATATCTAAAGATTGGATTTGTGTGTGTGCGTTTTTTTTCGCACAAATGACTCAATTACATTCTCGCTTTGAAGTAAATTTTGAGCTTTGCAAAGTTCTTGAATTCAAAGTAGAGAAATTCGTATGTTGTCTAATTCGAGTTACGCAATTTCATTGTTGATAATTAGATTCCTTCATGTACTTCCATTTAATTAAAAAGATTCTAATTTACTTTTATAGTATTCTCACTATTTTTTTTTGTACCTATTGCATCTGTTTAGTTGGTTTTCTAAAAGTTATGATAAAAACATTTTTTTTTTTGGTTGAATAATTAAATATTTTACATGTTGGCATTTTTTTTCGCTATTTGCAATCTAAACTTGGTAAAATTTTCATCATAGGAGAAAATCCCGTCGAGAGATAATTAAATATAAGTGAACAGCCACAAGTGGGTAACAACTGAGGGTTACTCGCACTGTGCTGCAGGCTTGATTTTATACATTCATTTTGTATGTTTGGAACTAAAAATAAACATATTCTTTCTGTGAAACGAGAAATGAGAATATAAAAATTTTTCACTAATTCGTTTTTTCTTTTTTTTTTGCTTTTTATATCTAATTATTGTATGAATTATATAGTAAATTCACTTCTACGTGATATTTTTTGTTTTAATTCTAAATCTGAATCGGTGAAAAGTCACTTTTTACTTTTTTTGTTTACAAATTTTAAAAGGTATTAATTAATTAATTAAATCTTATAGAAAACAAATTATTTATTTATTTAATAATAATAATAAAGATTGACAATTTTTCTTATAATTATTAATATATAATATATTGGGACATTCCAAACCATTATTAAAATAATAATAAAAATTAATAGACAGTAAAAGTTATTCTAGAAATAAAAATTTTTAGTGATAAATTTTACCTAGTCAGAACTAAGTTATAATAATTTTTACTAAAATTTATTTCTGTATAGTAAAATTTACTGCAGAAATAACAATTTTTAGTAGCAAATTTTACTATTCTTGCAGTAAAGTTTTGGATAAAATTAAAAATAAAAAAATTCTCCAATATATAGTGTCTACAATTTGTTAGTAAGAATTATTATCATAGTAAATTTACTTTTTTTGTTTACAAATTTTAATATTGATTAATTAATTAAATTTTATGGGAAAAAATAATTTTTTGTTTATTTGCAAAATTATCAAGTTCATTTATTTATTTAATAATAAAAATTAATAGACAGTAAAAGTTATTCTGGAAATAAAAATTTTAGTAATAAATTTTACCTAGTCAGAACTAAGTTACACGAATTTTTACTAAAATTTACTTTGGTATAGTAAAATTTACATGCGGAAATAATAATTTTTAGTAGCAAATTTTACTATTCTTGCAGTAAAGTTTTAGATAGAATTTTTTTAAATTTTCTTCGAACGTAGTATCTACAGTTTAGTTTTTTGGTAAGAATTATTTTCATAGTCAATTTTACTACTTCTCAAGTAAATTTTTCAA